TCGCATCAAAATGGGCGGTTGTTAGTGACAAGTGGCGCGCTCACCACGCGAGCGGTCCGGGATCAAATCCTGGGTCGTGAGTCGCCCGGGCCAACCAAGCCTTCCATCCCTCCGGGGTCGGTTTAATTGGTACCAGACTTGTCTGGGAGGATAAAAACACTGACTTGTACATCGGCTGGCCCCGCAAGTCATTGTATAGGCCACATCGCATTCAAACGCCACTACGAATGTACAAATGGAAGTAGAATGCGTGCCGCATCCCAAAAGGGATTGATCAACGGCAAATGCTTTATCCTTTTTTAAATAATAACTGCGGAGAGTATTTGAATATTTCAACATGCAACGATTGATTACTTCAAAGGTATTAGGTTGGAAAGAAAACGGTTTGAAACACTCTACTTGGAGGTGTTTCTCTGTTCTTCCCGATTACTCTGGAAACTTCCCATGGGTGGTATATAAAGGGAAGTGATGTGCTTCCTACACGGCTCCTACAATGACGTCTGCATACTATGAAGATTTTTTCAATAAAATACGACCCTACTCGTTCTACCTAAATTGAGATCATTCGGTTCAAATTCAGCAACGTTTGATTGAATTCATTTGAATATGGAGCAAAATGTCTTTTTTATTGTTCTCCCTGTAGTATGCGTTGAAAAAATTCCTCAATGGCCAGATGTTCAGACGAAAATTCGAATGAATAATGATACGATAAGTATAATATGAAGTACGAACTGCTCTTTGAAGGTCCTTACGATGATGAAGATATCAACGACGACAATGCAGTCGACATGGATTCAGTGCTTCCCGTAGAGGACTCCGCTAATCATCCGTCAAGGAACACCTCCATCGTGCTTGACTCGGCAAAGGAAGCGGCAGATCGGGAGACTCTAGTGCTCATCTACAGTCTTTTACTGGCCATCTCTGTCTTCACTTTGATGTGCATACTGATATGCTTTGTGTGGTGCAGAAAAACTGGCCATGCCACAATCACAAAACCAATGTATTAGGTCTATAATATTCGACATTGTATGAGAAAATTCTTCTTATAGACTCCTTCCTCTCTTTCAAAATTTACATTATTCTTTTGTCCGTTCCTTCGTTCTAGAGTCCACTGCCTTTGGTCGGTATTGCCTCTTTTCACCAGAACTCGTTTATTGAACCACGTAGACGATTATCACATTATTATAGTCATCAAAAGAGCTGCTACCCTCGCTTATTATTCAACATGTGAATTCGGGTACACTACTACTGCACCTGTACTATTTGCGCTGAACGACTAAAATAACTTGAACCGTTTCCAGTCGAAGAATTGTGTATGAAATATCGGAGTTTCTGTAAAGCGTCCTGCTCAAACGATTTTATTTTATTGTATTTTTGAAATGTCTTTGTAAATATTGAAGTTCTTAATAAGGAGTAAATGAAATTTTTGTTGCGGAAATAAGATTGAAGGTACATTCCACGACAAACTACAATATTTGGATCAATCTTCCGTGGGTGGGGTAGGGCTGTGTACAGGTGTAGCAACTATTGTTTGTCCCATAATTCCTGTCTGAATAACAAATAACATTGCTGTGTGTCCAACGCGATGCATGCCAGACGGTTAGCCAGGACATTTTCGAAGGTCAAACCCGCATCGGAATAATTGAGTAGAAGTCGAAATAGACATAGTTGTCGACAAGTGACAATAACGAACTATTATGCTCTGTGATCCTTAATAAGTAGACCCATAAAGAGGATCGTGCGCTGTGTTGGGCTCAGTCTCTGCTACTGATCGGTCACTGAGCTGGAGGTTCGGTCGCAACGGCAAAGACAACACGGGCTGTGAAATCAGCCTCATCCTGGGCCTCCACTCACTTTCAATGAGGAATCCTTGCGCCACGGCTTGAAGTGCGCACCGGACGCTACTAACCAAGGTATTCGTAGCAGGCCACCATGGCGCAGCGCCGCGCCCCGAGCCAACATGTGTCACCGTCAGGATGAGTGTCAGGCAATGCAGAAGAAGACTGATGCAAACCAGGAGCACCGGACACCAGCCATGACCGAAGAAGCAGGTCTGACCCTCTGGGGAATTTCATTCTGTGACTTCATTAGCAGAGCGTTCCCTATTGATCACTAGTGGGGAATGAGCCATGAGTTCACCACGACAACAACACGCAGCACGCCTAATGGGCTGCCAGGGCTCACCAGCACAACAAAAGCCCAAACTCCGTGGTCAAATAATATTGTATTTGATTTGTTATATTAAAAGGGTCTTCGCTTTCACAGTTGTTCCGCTATATGCGGACAATATTGTGAATGCCATCGTGGAACAGCTCCCGGATTTGGCCGCAGTAGTGGGAGAAAACCGTCCTAAACGTCCCAAAATCCCCTTTCTCCGAATAGACGCTCGACCTCACATTGCAAAGATAACTCGCTACGTTCTGAGGGAAACTGGCTGGACCACGATACCATGTCCATCGTATAGCCCTGGCATCACTCCATCGGGCTACCCCTTCACAGTGCCTTGAGGCAGCAGCGGCGAGAGAAAAAAGTCACTCCAAAAACGACCTTGCTGAATTCTTCAGCTCATAGCTTCACCCATTCTAGGAGGAAAGCATCCAAAGGTTCCCTGGCGAATGGATGCATATCGGTGATTATGATAATGGTTATATTTTTGATCAATTGGTTTTAGAGGAAGATAAAACTCGATGAGAAGAAAGTGTCGAAATTCGGACAGGAATTATGGGACAACCCAATAGTAAGGCGTTCTAGTGGCTTGAAGATGCACGGAAGGGGTGCTAGAGGCTAGTCAGTGATTCCACCACTACTATCATTCCAAGCTCTTTGATTTTGGAATTGAAAGGATTGTTAGCAAGTTGAATCGGACGAATCAATACCTCGTTCAATGATA